ACGCGCTGTCAGGCGGGCGCGGCCGCGGGTGAGTCCTGGGCGCAGCGGGGGCTCAGTGCGGTGAAGGTCACCGCAGCTGAGGTCACCCGGCAGCCTCCCCTCCCAACTTGGGGCTGCAGTCTCGCGGGCAGGGCTCACCGGGAAGGGGCGGGAAGCGCTGGAGCCGCAGGCCCGGCCTTACTCAGACCTTGGACATCCCGAGGATGACGCCCGGAAAATGGGTCATAGAAGATGGATTTGTTGTTCTCGGGAAGGAGAGAGTCTAATTGAGTCGCCAGGGCGAGGAACCGAGGCTCAAATATCCCCGCCGGGGGAGGGGAGTCGTAGTCCAGATCCTCCCCCCAGCCCCTTCCCAGAGAGTGGGCATCTCCCTTCCCAAACACCAAATCCAGACAGGGCCGTTCTGTTGTCTTCCCCAAGTGCCCTCCTGGGGGCCATTCGAAGCGCGTCCCCCTACAGGCTGGACAGAGCCCATGGCTGCCTGGAGCTCCACAGTGGCGGAGGACTCAGGAGGGCTCTGGAGGTCTCCCTGGGAGAGGGGCCCAAGCTGGGACCTGAAAGTAGCAGGAAGTGGGGAACCCACTCAGGCACGTGCCAGAAGCAAGGGGAAGGGGGAACAGTGGGGATAAACCCACTCCTCTGGCATCCTGCCCTGGCCGGTCACCCTGTACCCCGCCCTGGGCCGTGAGACGGCTGTGTGCCAAACTCCCATAAGGCCCCTGAATCAACCATCCCCTGGGTAAAGTGTGGGTTTTGGCCTGGCATTCAAGGCCCTCCAGCCCCCTAGTCTCCCCTTGACATCCCCACCCCACCCCTTCTCTGACAGTGCCTCTTCCGTGGCCTCAGTTTTGCAGGCACTGCTCTCTCTGGTTGGAAAGTCCCACCCCTGCTTCCTTCTCATCTCATTTTGTCTCCTGCTCCAGGAAGCCTTCCCCAACTCCCAGGCTGAGTTGGGTGGCTGCTCTGGCCACCAGCACCCCTGCCCAAGTCCCCTTGTGGGTCCCTCAGGCCCACAGTGACCCCCGGTCCTTGTCCCCCTCTGTGCAGGGCTGCAGTGCCTCCAGTAGACCAGGAGCTTCCAGAGGGCAGGGGGTGGCCCTGCCCACTATGCGCCCTGCCCCAACCCCGGCCTGAGTTGAATCAAGGACCAGCTGCTGTCCACTTGCCCACTCTGCCCTCTCGCCTCCAGCCATGGCACCCCTGCTCACCCTGCTCCTGGTGGCCCTGGTTGGCCTGCCTCTGGGTAAGATGGAAGACGAGGAGTGGACCAACCCCCTTTGGGGGCAGGCAGGCTGCAACTGGGGAGGGAGGCCAGAATACCTGGGGGCCACCTCTCCTTCCAGCTGTTCTGCTCTGGGGAGGGTGATGGAACCAAGGGGCTGATGGGCTAGAGGCAGGGCCTCTCCCTGTTCTGTGACCCCATCCCCTGGTCCCAAGCCCAGGCTCTGGACTGCCACGTGTGCGCCTACAATGGAGAGAACTGCTTCAACCCCACGCGCTGCCCGGCCATGGTCACCTACTGCATGACCACACGCACTTGTGAGTCAGTGGGTTGCTCTGCACAGCCCTCCCTGGGGAGCACAGGGGCCTGCTTCTGCCCTGCGAAGTGTGGGGGAGGCTGAGGAGGGAGGCTCTCATCTGCCCCAGGATCCCCTGGGAGCCCCCGGCTGAGGGGAACCTGGCCTAATGGCCGTGCGAGCTGGGGTTGGCCCCTCCCAGGGTCCTGACCTTCCCCTCTACCCCTCTGCAGACTACACCCCGACTAGGATGAAGGTGAGCAAGTCATGTGTGACCAGCTGCTTTGAGACCGTGTACGATGGCTACTCCAAGCACGCGTCCACCACGGCCTGCTGCCAGTACGACCTCTGTAACGGCGCCAGCCTCGCTGCCCCCGCGACCCTGGCCCTGGCTCTTACTCTCCTGGCCAGCTTCTGGGGTCTGCTCTGAAGCCCTGTGCTGTCTGCCGCACACCCGCTCAAGGACAGACTCCGCACAGCGAGGCCCCGTCCTCTCCGCCTGCACACCCCGCCCGCCCTCTGCCCACCTGAGACCCCCAGCCGCACCTGGCACTGTCTGCAGGAGGACTCCGGACTCCCCGGCCGCCGCAGGGCCTGCTTCTGGTGCCATGACCTGCCATTTTCAAAAGGCTATTGTGGGACCACACTTCCCAAGGCATCTGGCCCTGCTGGGGCAGCCCAGCCCCGCCCCTGTCCAAGGATCGGGGCATCAGCAAAGTGTGCTGTTAACGAGTCTTCAGTTGGCCAGAAAACCCTGATTTGAAGGGAGACATGCTCACCTTCCTGGCAGCCATGGGAGCAAGGCTCTGTCCTGAAGGTGTGCTGGAGGGAAAGAGGAGATGAGGGACCCAGGGGGTGGAGGACAGTCCTAGGAGGAGGGCTCTCCAGGGCCCCAGGAGGGCTGTCTCTGTGCCTCTGACAGAGGCCAGGAGCTGCCCAGGGCAGATGAGGCATGGAGGACTGAGCCAGGAAGGCCTTTGTCCGTGTCAGCATCCCAGGGAGGGGTCCCAGGCCCTCATGTCCAGGCAGCCCTTGGCAGGGGAGGGGTTAGCTCAGCCTAAAGAGGCCCCTGAGGCCCCTCCAGCCCCGGGAGCTGGTTCTGGGTCCTGTGAGGGCTCTGTCCCTTCCTGCTCAGCCAAATCCTTGAGCTTTGCCACTCCCCTCCCGGCACTGCGCGCTTGCACAGGGCCTGAGCCCGGACAGGCCAGGCTATATTTGACTGAGCCTGAGAGCTGATCCCAGGACTATTTTGGGCCAAGAGGGAAGGGTGCAGAGCGGTGACCACTGGAGGCCTGGCCTTGGGCCCTAGCAGGCTGTGGCAGAGTGCACCCCTTTACAGAGGCAGGGAACTTGGCTGAGGGAAGGAGGAGATACGCCCACCTAAGTCAGACAGCCGGGTTGGGGGGCTGTGGGCAAGGCGTATCCTTGACCCGGTGTAAGGTGCCTTCTCCTGGACACTCTGGGCTGTGGGCGGCAGGGGCGGGCTGGGCCCGTGGGACGGAAGGGAATACGGGGTCTGGGGAGGAGGGCAGGGGGAGGTGGAGTCCCAGGAAAGAGGGGAGGGAGATGTGGGGTTGAGGAAAGAAGGGAAGAGGACTGGGTTCGTGGATGGAGGGTGCTGAGGGCCACTCCCTCCCTGCGCAGCCTGGATTTCCTCTGCATCCTTGCGCTGAAGGACCAATGTCCACACCTGGCTTCTGGCAGGCCCCTCTGGTCTGGCCTGCGGGCCTGGCCGGTAGCAGGATCCTGACTGAGCGAGTGCGAGGTGCGCTGGCCTTGGCCTTGGCCTGGAAGGCCGTGCCAGCCAACGTGAGGGTTTCCGTGGGCCGCTTGACCTCTGCCTGCCAGTGAAGAGGGTGGGAGCAGCACACCAGCTGGAGCTCAGGGAGTGGCTCTCATACGCCCCCAATCCAGCCGGGAGTTGGGACCCCCCAAGGGCCCAAGAATGGGCATTATTTTAAGGGCACCCACCCCAGGTGAGCCCCCCTCCCCCACCAGGTTGGGGAAGCATGTGTTTGCCCAGCATCTGCCCTTCTGGGTAAGAGTGGCCCAGGGAGCCGGGGCCTGCCAGTGAGGCCCGGCAGGATGTGCTGCGTTGTGTCAGGGTCAAACAGCACCTGAGGCCACCTCACTTGACCAGTGACCCCAGTTCCAGTGTCCACTGAGGGACCTGAGGAGCTCCTTGAAGCTGGCCTTGCCCAAGAGGGCAGGATGGTGGCAGATGCCCACGTCGGGGGCTGTCCCTGGAACTCAGAAGCCTTTGGCCCCAAAGCATGGCCCCTGTCAGGGGAACCAGTGCTGAAAATTCCCTCTTGAGAGCTTCCCTCCAGGACTGCCAGACCTCAGGGTACCCTCGGCAGGCCCGGGCTAGACTTCCCAGAGGGCCAGGAGGCAGAAGGAGCTGCACCCCAAGGATGGCTGACAGCAGGCCAGCTGTCTCCTCCCCTTAGGCCCCGACAGGAGCGAGCCCCTCCCTGGAGGGGGGTTGGGAGGAAGCTAGAGCCCACCCCTGACCCCCAGGAGTGGTCTGCCTGAGGGAAATGGCCGCTGAGTTGGCTGCAGGGCCAGCTCAGCTCCAGTCACTGTTGGGGAGGGAGGGCAGCCGTGGGCAGACTGCCCTCCTGACTCAGTGGGAGAGGCCTGGGGGAATGGCTACTGCCCTGCCTGTGCAAGCACTTTGTTCTGGATCTGGTCTTGCCTCCCTCCCCCCCGTCCCAGTGGGTGTTGGAGTAGACCCCTGCCTGGCCACCTGCGGGCTTCTGGGGTTGCTGAAAGCAGGGACCCAGCAAGGGCTGGGCAGGTGTGGTGTTGTGGGAGCATCTTACACCTGCCTCCTGCATCCGTCTGTCCATCCCTCCGCCACCCTGACCCATCCCATCCCAACACTCACATCCCTGCCCCCAGCCCCGGGGACCATGCGGCCCACCCCTCCCCCGTAGACTGGGTTCTTCGCGGCCTGGCTGTCTTCCTAAGCCAGCACAGAGCCCACAGGTGTTTAGCTCATGCCCAGGCCAGGCCCCCTAGTGGGAGGTGCGTGGTACTGCAAAATAAGGGGACTCAGCAGTGCACTTAGAATCAAACAAGTAAACTTAGGTGGACTGTGTCTACAAGGGTAGGAGCTAACACCTGCCCAGTTTCCCTGCGTTCACGGATCTCAGCACCTCCACGACAGCCCTGCAAGGTAGAAGCCGATATCATGGCCCTTTCACAGACGAGGAAGCTGAGACACGGAGAGGTAAGATGGCAGCCCCCCAAGGCAGGCCAGACCCCTTGCCCCGCAACTGCACCCCAGCCCCACTGTGGAGAGGAGAGGAGGGACGGGAAGGAGGCTTTCTGAATTTAAGACACTCTTAGCATGTTAAGTACTCAAAACAGCCTAGAGTCAGGAAAGCTTAGAAGGAGAAATTGGAAACAGGAGGTTTGAGAAGCCGTGCAGGCCAGAGTCCCAGGCATCTAGACCTATGTCAGGATGCCGGGCCAGGGATGGAGAAGCAGAGAGAGGAGGCAGAGGGGCACCAGGCACCCCCGGCTTGCCTGGCCCGGACCCATTCCCCACCTGTGTCGGGACCATGGGTCCCTGTGGGGACCTCTCCAACAAAAACAAGAGCCTGTGCAGTACAGGCAGGTGCCCAAGCTCTCCTTGTAGCTCCTTGTGCAGCCTGCATGTCTCAGGAGTGGCTCCTTGACTGGGCAAACGGCACCTCCCATGGACTCTTGCGTTGTCCATTCACCTGGGATGCAGCTGAGAAGGTGGTGCTGCAACTTCGACCTGGGGACGGGTCAGGTCTGGCCCCGTAGCGTGAGGACGGCATGAGGAAGGTGTGAGCTCGCCGCTCTGCCCCTGCTGGAGGGGAGGCCAGACCAGCTGCTTCCCCACCCGCCTTTGTACTGGCTGATATGTGGTGATGAACGTGTGTTTTCTTCCTGATTCTAAACTTCTGCAAAAGGTGAAAAGAAGCTGAGAGGCCTCTGTATTTTTAATGCCCTCACACCCCCGGCAAGCCTTGTTGGGTCTTGTAGCTCCGGCTGATCTGGGGCTGGTTGATCACATCTTTGAGCCTCAGTTATCTCATTGATAAAATAGTTCCCACTAAGCTGGGGCCCCTTGAGCATCAACGAGGCTGTGGGTATAAGGGCCTGTCCCGGGGCCTGGCCCACCAGAGGCCCCAGATGGACAGACTGATGGGTGGACGGATGGACAAATGGATGGATGGTGCCCTTTCCCTCCTATCCCACTTCTCAAGATCCGACTACTTCCCAGGGCCGTGCCCCTGCCAGCAGCTGATGCCAGCCCCAAACCCTGACCCTGACCCTGACTCACACTGCTCCCTGCAGAGTCTCATGAGCACCTCCTGGAGCCAGTGAATGAACTGGCGAGTACGTGCATCTGCTTTCTGTCCCCACCAGCCACCGGCCTGAGCTCCACCCCGCCTTTGTGGTCTGGTTTGGCTGGTCCTGCTGGCTCTGTCGGTCTTTGACTCCTGTCCACCCTGGCTCATCCAGCCTTGACGTCAGAGCCAGCCCTGACCCAAGGCGGGGGAAGACCCACAGGAGGGGAGCCAGCGGGAGCGGCAGGAGGCTCACTGGGCGCGGCCTCATTTCCGGTCGGTCGTGGGAGTGAGGCCGACCTACCAACTCATCCAGCGGCTCCTTGGGAAAGCTTGGGGAGGGAGGTGGAACCCAGGAACCCCCCCTACCACCTGGGTTTCTGGCTCCTGACCCTGGTTCTTCCCAACTGCCTAGGAGCAGGGTCTGATTCTGCCCAGCCCCAGGAGCCACCAGATCGAGGGGTGGCCGAAAGCCACTCGGGCTGCCAGAGCAGACACATTAAAGCTCCTGGGCCAGAAGGGCTGACCCTCTTGAGGTGGCCACTGTACGGCCCCCACAGTGCCCCAGACCCCACCCCTAAACCCCCAGCTTTTGGCAGAACTGTGTGGCTGGTTCCTGGCTCCCATGAAGCCTGGCTCTTGCTCTCAGGAGGGCCCTTCTGGGCTCTCACCCATCATAGGGACTCTCTTAATACTGGGGCCCTTTCTGCTCCCCACCCCCCAGCACTGGGCAAACACGCACAGGTCCTGGGCCCTGCAATACGGTCATGATAATAACCAGGGACCAAGGTCCCTCGTGGCTCCCAGAGAGGCAGGCAGCTCACAACCGCCCCTTTTAGAGGGAGGCCCACTTAACAGGGAAACTGAGGACCATACATTCTGGCTCTCTGGACGCAACTGGTCGCCTAGCTCACCCCCGGGGGCGTGCTGGTGAAGGCCTCTGGGTGGGCCCAGCTCTGAACTCCTTTGCAAGTTAGGGGTGGGGCTGGGCTCGCTGGCCTGTGCCAGGCTCTCCTTCCTGCTCCCCCAAGGAGACCAGGGGCTGTGTGCTGTGTGCCAACCGTCTTATGTGATCCCCAATTTTATACTTTGGGGACAGGAAAGAAGTTCATGAGATTAAGCTAGGCTCTCCGGAGACCACACAGCCATCAGCCTTGGGGCCAGGCTGGACCCCAGTGCTGTCCAGGCCCCAGTCCAGCTCCTCAGCTGAGCTGGCCGCGGGGTGACTGTGTGGGGACTGGGCGGGGCGGAGCAGCTGCAGGTATAAGAGCAGCCGGGCGCCCTGGGAGCCAGACCTCTCCCCAGGAGAACATGAGGCTGCTCCTTGGGCTCCTGTTGGCAGCTGCCTTGAGCCTGGAGCTGGGTAAGTCGGGGCGGGGGTCGGGACCACTTTCCTTCCAGATCTCTTACTGGGCTGTGACTCCCACCTTGGGGGAGCCCACTTCCTGTCCCCTCCCCATCTCCTGGGGCACCAGCCTTCCCCCTCCACCAGCCCCTCCCCTCTGCCTGTGACACCAGGCACCTCCTGGACCTGCAGGGAAGTCATCTGAGCCTCACACTGTCCTTGTCCCTGCAAGGGCTGCCCACTTCTCAGGGCTCTGCCCTCCCCCCACTACCTCCACAGGCCTCCCCACTCCAGCAGTGACCCCCCACACCTGAGTTTGAAGGCCTGCCCTGTTTCCTGGGTCCTCCCTCTCCTGGCTCCCTCCTACCTCCCCTGTAGGTGGGATCCTGGCCTCTCCCCTCTCCACTCCAGGCTTCCTTATAGGGGCAGCTTCCCCACTGCCATCACTTCAGTCTTCCCTGGCTACGCCCACATCCGTGGATGCTGGCTGCATCTGCCCCAGCTTCCAGCCCTTCGCTCAGAGGTTGGCCTGAGGGCATCCTCCCAGATGTCCGAATAGAGCCAGCTGGGCTCCCCTGATCCAACCCCCACCAGACCCTGCTCTCCCAGCCCTCACCTGTTTCCCCTTCTGGGTCAGCTCTCCCTCACCAGCCACGTGGCCCTAAATGAGATGGCCAGAGGAAACGTCTGGACGTCCCTGGCCCAGGCACAGCGCTCCCCCTCCCAGTCTCTGGGATCTGTCCACTGTCTCCACCTGCAGGGACACTGCTAGGGGCCTCTGACTGTGGGAAAGGGGCCAGGCCTCACCACTGACCCCTGAGAACTGCCCCTAGGTCATCAGGGTGGATGGACAAGGAGGGGATGCCTGCAGGAGTCTGAGCTCAAGGCAGGGAAAGCCCTGGTCACCACCAGGGCTGGGTCACAAGGACTGGGTGGCCTCCTCTCCGTCCCTGGGCTCAGTCCAGTTCCAGGGGATAACAGAAGCCTGCCAGGTGCTGTGTCCACGGAAACATCACTGACCAGAGACCCTGCCCTGCCTGAGCAGCTGGCCTCTGAAATCCCATCTGCTCCCACACACAGCAGGCCTCAGGCTGGGGTCACTGCCTTTCCAGTTGGAGAATGGGGGGTCAGAGCCCTGTGGCCCTCTTTCAGGGACCCCATAAGCCTCATCGTCGCTGGTGTCCTCTCCCTGTCACCCAGGGCAGCACAGCCTTCCCCGGGCCTCACACTGGCCCAGGCTTAGTTAACCAAGCAGCACCCAAGTGGGAGGTGAGCTGCCTGCGTGGGGCAGGACAGGAGCCTGGTCTGCTGCCCCCAGAGCCGCCGCCTCTGTCCATCCTCCGTCCTCCGTCCCTCCGTCTCTCCCTCCCTTCCTCCCTCCCTTCCTTCCACTAAGCTCCCCTGAGCCCTGCTAGGCACAGAGGAGGGGTGCATTGTGGTGGATGCTCGGGGGGCACCTTCACATCTGGGGCGGTGGGGGTGGGGAGGGAACCCTGAGACCAGGTCACGTGGGAGCAAGGATACATCGCCAGCACCTCAGAGTGGGCTGGTCAAAGGGGCAACATCAACTCTGCCCTAGAAGCCCAGGAGGCCTTCTTAGAAGAGGCGGCATCTGAGCTGGGGCCTGTTTCACCTGGAAGGGCAGGACAGCAGAGGCAAAGCAGGGAGGCATCTGGGAGGGTGAGCAGAGAGGAAGGGAGGCAGGAACCGGTTATCTCACCGGGGCATCCCCGGGGCACAGATATCTCAGTTTTTCCGGTGACACCACCCTGCCCGTCCATGAGGGTCCCTGCCATCTGCCACCCCAATCAGCGCTGCCAGAGTCAGAGAAGTGCTTATGCAGCTTATCAAAGCACCATCGGGTTTGACGTGAGGGTGGCTTCAATCATCTTTCTGGGGCCTTGTGACATCTGCTGCCCACATTGGTGGGGGGCGGGGAATGGGACACCGACCAGCCGACTCCAGCCGCAGCGCTGACCCCAGCGGGGCGGTGGCCCGTTACACCCTGAGCGTGATCACTTGTATCCTGCAATGACCAGTCCCACAGGGTAACAGGGCAGAGGGCCCTGGGCTGAGGCTTGGTACCTGGTGACCTTCTCCCCAGCCCTCTGTCTTGGAGGTCTTGAGGGGTGAGGCACCCCAAGATGAAGGACAGGGGCCCCCGAGAATGGGAATTGGTGCTGGGTGGGAAGAAAGAGTGCTGTCATGCGGGAGGTACCCCCACCTGCGTCCCTGTCTGTGTGTGTCCGTCCATCCTTCCCTCTGCCTGCAACTGTAGCCCAGGCCTTGCAGTGCCACCAGTGCAAGGGCTTCGGAGGATGCGCCCAGAAGACCAAATGCCCATCCAGGTCCAGCCACTGCATCAGTATCGCCACCCGTGAGTAGGGGATGAGGAGCAGGCTGGCCACGCCCTCCTCAGCAAGCGGGGAGACCCAGGCTCAGAGGGGGCGGAGACTGACCCAGCTGTTGGGCAAGTCAGTCCCAGGGCAGGGAGAGCCTCACCCAGTAGCTAAAGCGGGAGGCCGGGTCTACCCGGGGTGGAGGAGGGAGCTGACCCACGTCTCGGTGGTAGGTGGGGCAGGGGGTATGGGCAGCTCGGATCCTTGGGTGGTCTGCAGGATTTCTCTCCTGTCCACCCCAGGGGCCCCTAGCAACTTCCCAGACCTGCCTCTTATCACCAAGATGTGCTACAGAGGCTGCCCTGACATCAGCACCCTGGGCCTGGGCCCCTACGTGTCCATCGTCTGCTGCCAGGCCAGCCTCTGCAACCGTGACTGACCGCCCCCGCTGCCCCCAGCTGCTCCCCCGCCCGCCTCACAGAGCTCCCAGCCAGTCCGGCCCCAAGCAGATGCTGCTCCTGAGGCAGCTGGGAGGGCACTGGGGCTGGGGGCACGGGAGGGGCGCCCCAACTCAGGGCAGGAGTCCAGGAAGCCCAGGGACCCAGAGGCTATGCTGGGGTGGGTTGAAGGAAGGGAGGCCATGGCAGGGAATGGAAGGAGAGAACACAGATACCCTAGAGGTGTGCCGGCCCCCACCACGTGCACACACATGTGCACATGTGCAGCCAGGCGCGGACACGCACCTGGGCAGCTGCTCCTAGAGAAACCTGCTCCTCCTTGGCCGGGAATCTGAGCTTCTTCACAGCCCCCGCTGCTCCTCCCCTCCTGCCTCGCTTCTTTCTCCCAGATCCCCCTCCTCTCTGCCAAGCCCCTCTTGCCCTGAAACCTTTCCCCCGCCCCCCCCACAGGAGTCCCTCCAGCCCTGTGACTGTTCACCTCATGGTAGACACAAGGAGGCCTTAAGCTGATGTCTGTGACGGTCACTCACTCACTGAGTGAATGTTTAATCCTAGCTGCAACAAGGCCCCAGGCTCAGCCTTGGGCTGCAAGGTGGAGGAGACCCCCCAGGTCACCCCCAGGCACCCCACCTGGCCCTCTTTTGGGCCCTTGTTCACGCGGAAGAAAACACAGACAGGCCAGTGAAATTGTGCAGCCGGCGGGCAGGGAGCACCGATGTCCCAGCCGAGGGTGACCAGTACCAAGGCACATGGGAGGGCCCTGACCAGGAGACACAGAGAGGGCTGGAGGCCCCAACCAGCCCCCCCTGCGGGCCGGACTGGCATCCCTAATGGTGGTCCTTCATGTCAGGGGGACAATGTGCAGAAGGTGGGGAGCTGACCGCCATGGAGGAGAAGGCAAGCCGACTGCTCCCACCCGCACGCCTGCTGCACTGAAAGCCTTTCCAACTGAACCAAAGTTGTAAGCGTCAAAAGAAAGAGATTCTTTTCAGATGATGGTTCAGAATAGAAAGCGAGACGCGTCCTCCAAATGGTTAAACACAGAGTTACTGTCTGACCAGCAGCCCTGTCGCTAGGCACCGACCCGAGAAAGGGACACAGCAACGTGTCCATCACAGTCACAAGGTGGCCCCTGAACTGACGAATGAATAAACAAACGTGGTCGCTCCAGACAATGGACTGTTTTTCAGCCACGAGAAGAAACTAAGTACCGACGAGCAACGACACGGGTGAGAGCATGACACTCAGGGAACGACAGGTCCTGGGGTTCGTCTCCGTGAAATGCCCACAGCGGGCAAATCCACAGACAGAATGCAGATCAGCGGTTCGCAGGGGCGGCAGGAAAACGCGGGATGGGGTGGCAGCCAAAGGGGTTCCTTCTGAGATGATGACAATTTTCCAAACCTGACCCTGATGGGCGATCATACCTGTAAATAGGCCCAAAACGCTTCACACGGGTGAACTGCGGGGTGTGTGAAGTAGATCCAATAAAACTTAAAAATTAGTAAGAAAAAAAAGGTTTCAAGAAAAACAAGGCCCGACATCCTGGCTGAGCAGATTCATGAGGCGGTAAAAATTTAAAACAAAGTGCGTGGGAAAAAAATGCCAGAAACCGAACTAAAAAGCAGAAGGTGGGTGACAAACGAGGCGGATTTCTCTCCCACATGAAGGATACGCGCAAGCCCACACAGGCGGCGGGCTCAGCGGCAGCCATACTCCCAGCCAGAGGGGAGCAAAGCAAAGGAAGCGGCATTTTAAATCTTGAGCCGGACAAAAAAGTGGCAAGACAATGATGCCACGAGGGCAGGGAGTCCCCTGTCTGTGTGACCTTGTGGGAATCCCTGCAGCCTCTTGGAGGGCCAGTCGGCACCATCTCTGAAGCTGTAAGGTGTCCCTAGGGTTTTGTTGAATGCGGGCCCCCGAGATGTCACCCAAACACCTGGAGCGGGCGGGAGACGGGGTTAGAAGCCCTGATCACCCGACGCTAGCAGCGCCCTGCGCGCGGGAGCCAGCCGGGCGCTCGAAGGGATGACCGGCCCCCGTGCATGTGCCCCACTGCTGCAAAGAGGAGGCGTGAAGACCGTGCAGTGGAAGATGCTCACTGCAGTGTTCTGAGCAGAAGCCGAGTCCCCCGAGGGCCCACTAGTACAGGGAGTGACGCCCCAGGGCCACTCCGCTGGGTCCTGCTGGAGGGAGAAGCGGGTCACAGCTGCTGCCCCGGGAGCCGTCTCACTGTCCTTGTACTTTCTTTGCAACCTAGAGACGTGGCTTTAAGAGCCCTCAGTCTGCTGTCTGCTCTGCCGGACGCAAGAAGGGGACTGGTAGGCAGAAGCTCAGGTGGGAACCCCTCTCAGCCACCTGGGGGGTCCTTAGAGAAGGTGCAGAGGAGACCACCCCACAGGCAGGCTGGCGGGGAGGCCATGCCGAGCAGACGGAGAAGCACAGCCCTGGTCCTGGCCACATGCTGAACACTGACTCTGGTCACACATTTAGACCTTACCGTCATCGCAGGCTGAACTCTGACCCTGGTCACAGGCTGAGCCCTGACCTGGAGGCTGCCGGAGGAACTGAGGGGAGGGTGTGGGCCTCTCAGCATGAAGCGTCCTAGGCTGGGCCACATTCCTGCTCGCCCTGAGCGGACGGCAGCAGCTCTGCAGACAGGTTCAGCCTGGGCTTCCCCAGTGGCGGCCTGGCGGAAACTCTAGGAGGAGCAGATGCCCAGGGGCCAGGTGTGTTCTGAAAGGAAAGCGGAGGTGGGACCCCTGCGCCTGAGGACAGGAGGTGTGGTGTCGGCTCGGCCTCCGCAGGAGGAGTTGGGCTGGGCTGAAGGAGGAGCCGGGGTGTGCGGGGCGCTGTCTAATCCGGCATCCCCCCCCCCGCAGCGGGCCGCCCGCTGAGGAGCAGACTCCGACAGGCCCGGCTGCTGCCTTGGCTTCCAGCCAGCCCTGGCCGGGTGACCTGCCTGTCAGCTGGCTGCTGGAGCCTCCGATCCTGCCCCCAGAGCAGTGGTTGGCACCGTGCCTGGTGGTTCACTGTAGCGAGAAGATGGGAGCCAGCAGGCCGAGTGTCTGACACAGTCTGGGCATTAAGGGAAGGCTAGGTGCCCCCCACCCACACTGGAGCCCCAGCCAGTGCCCAGGGAGACACAGGCCTGCTCAGTCTAGGGTTAAAGACCAGACCCCAAATGGAGCTGATCCCCCAGGACCTATATGAGGCCATGGGGTGGGGTCAAGGGTCCCCAGACAGAATTTCAACCTCAGGAGGCAGGGGTGGGAAGAGCAGGACCAGTCTTGCGGGGTGAGGTTTGGACCCTTGGGGAGAAGATGCAGGAGTCGAATGGGGCCGCAGGGGAGCCCCGAGTGAGCCAGGGCACAGCCCAGCAAGACCGCTGCCTTGACACCTGGGCCCTGTCAGCACCGGTCCCCAGCCCACCCAGGGTTTGCTCTGGCAGCTGTGAGGCCTGGAGGAGGGGTGAGAGGGTCACAGGCGGGACACCTTGGAGAGGCTGAGGAGTAGGCCCCATGGTCCGTGTGGGGGTCGGGGTTAGAGAGAGCAGTGCCTGGGGCCACACTCCAACCCCAGGACCCAAATCCACCTCTCCCCTTGTTATGGAAATGACAGGCC